TCTTAGAGGGTGTTTCTAAATTTAGGTGATTTGCAATCGTCAGCTGGCTTTCGTCTGGCATTCTGCTGCGGAGCTTTACGTAGAATCGCATACCCCACGCCCCTTCACCAACAAAGTACAAAGCTATATGCATCTGCAAAGTTAATCGCTTTGGCACCAGGATATGTTTTGAGGGGGCTTCTTTCGGAATACACTTCCTTTTCGAGAAAGTGTAACAAGAAAATCGTTCTATGGCTTAAACTTTACCCCTAAACCCTAAACCCCATTGATCTTGGCCTCTAGGCGGTTAGCTTTCAGAAGTGGGGCCTTGTGGCCTAAAAACGGCTTCAGCTTCAGGATTTAGGGTTTTGGGGGTTTAGGGTTTAGGGTTTTATGATTTAGGGTTTAAGGCTTAGTAACCCAGGGTTAGGGGACCCTGGAATGCAGGGTTTGATTTGTCCCTAGCCTTGGGTCTTTAATAGCCAGCCTTGAACCCGCTTGGGGCTCCGGCAGGATTTTTCTGAAGCTTTCGTAACTAAACTTCAATGTTTAGGGCTTGAAGGGTTAATGGTCTTCAGGGTTTTATGCATTGGTCAGCTTGTTGTTCCTTGGGTTTAGCGGAGTACGAAACCCCTCCACCCTGGAACACTAAACTGCTGAAGCCCTAAACCTTGAGCCCTATGATGACTCTGAACGATCCTGCTGTCAGCTTTGTATGTGCCCCAACGGATCACCATAAATTCGATTGCATTCGTGCAGGTGAACTCGGTGAGTTCGACGCATTGAACGTGGACATGTGACGTTCCGCCTACATTTCTGCAAAGCTCACAGCCGGTTTAGGCCTAAGGTCTGAATTCAACCATATAAACACCTATACCGCTGAATGTTAAGATCCCAACTCTACGTAACCCCGTAATATAGGGGCCTGGGGGTATGCTATACTAGAATTAATAAGGACCCCCCAAAACCCTATTCTAAGTGTTACGGCCCCTTCCCACGTTGCACAAACCATCGCCGAGAGCCCAAAAAGCAGTGTGCGGTTCAGGAATTCACGCAGCTGTTAATGATTCGTTTCACGTCAAGCATCAGCAGGAGTCACCGGGCTCATGGAACTAAGGAACCGCAACCCTCTCTCCATTTTCCACAGCATTAGAAGGTTTATGGAGGATCATAGGAATTTCCCTAAACCCCTAAATCCTGAACCGTAGACCCTAGAAATGATGCAGGGATCTCAACATGTAGAACACCTCGGATGATCGAATGCGTGCGCAAGTGACTCCTTCGTGCGGTGCATCAACACCATCGCCAAGCGAACGGTAGCATCCCAGCAGGCTAGCAACGAAGGCACGCGAAAATGCAGACTTGTCCGACAACTCATGCTGGCGTGGTTCTCAAAGGGTCATGGACCTCTCTTATCCCCTAAGCCCTAAACCCTAAACCCTAAACCCTCTCTTAAGCCCAACAGATGCTGCCATGCTTCCCTTTTGTGCCTGGAATGTGGCCACTCTCCGGCTTTGCTACTCACTCTTTGTCTTTTTGCCTTGAGGGTTTAGGGTAATTGGGGTATGTGTATGTCTTTGTGGACTCTCCTATATGGGTACTTGTAGTTCTATAACTTGGGGTTCCCTTTATTTTAGGGTTTAGGGTTTAGGGTTTAGGGTTTAGGGTTTAGGGTTTAGGGTTTAGGGTTTATTTTAGGATCGGTATTTTAAGGGGGACAATTATCTTTTTGGTTAGTTTTTTTTTAGCTGGGGGGGTTCCTTGAAACACGAACTGTCTTTTTGTTTGGAGTCGAATCACCGGTAACATCACGGGCCGCAAACACAAAATTTCCGATAGCTGTAGGATTCAGAGAGATTTGATTGCAGGATCGCGAGGAATAACTGCAGATATGCCGGGCTCCTGTAATGAAATCTCTTTGAATCCAACTAGAATAGGGTTCTTGGGGTTTAGGGTTTAGGGTCTAGTCTACTATAGTTATAATAAGGAGCCCCTCAAATAGAGTATAGGTAAGTACTAAGGCCTCTATAGAGTAGAGGGCTCTGCTGCCCTGTGGTTTTAGGTCCCCTTATTTTGACCAAATGGCAGGAAAGCGGGCACCTATTGTTATGGGGCTACTGGGGAACCTAGTATCCCATATGTTACTGTTTTCCAGGAATGTGATTTGAAGTACAGAACTTCTAAAGCACCGAACTCACGAATGAAGCCATACCGGGTTTAGGACTTATAGCGTTGGGGGTTTAGCGTCTAGCGCTTTCATTGGGCTATAGAGTTGGGGTTTAGAATTCAGCCTCTAGGGCTTTAGAGTTTGGGCTTTTCAGTTTAGGGTTTAGGGTTGAGTATAGGGACCTCAATAATTGCCAATACCATTGCGGCGGTTCCGTATTATGATTATAGTATAAGTTAACCCAAAACCCTATTCCAATTCTCAAGGCCCCTCCATTATAGAACCACAAGCCCTTATAGTAACCCTTATAGTTTCCCTTGTAAGGAAACCCTAAACCCTAAACCCTAACTCTGAACCCTAAATTTTAGGGTTTAGGGTTTAGAGGCGTTCGGGGGCGGGGCGTTTCATGCCGCAACCCTGGAGGCGGCTGCAGCCCTCCTTCGACGTCACAAAGAGTCGGCGAAGCTTTCCGAGGCCGCCTAAACTCTAAACCCTAGACCCTAAACCCTAAAACCCTCTAAAACCCTAAACTCTAAACCCTAAACCCTGAACCCTAGAACTCTCTAAAACTCTAAACTCTAAACCCTAAACACTAAACCCTAAACCCTAAAGCCTAAAGCCCTGAACCCTAAGGCTTTTAAAGCCCTTTCAACCATAAAACCTTAACAAGCAGAGCCTTCTTGGCTGTTCAGGGTGCTTCCCTGCCCCGCACGGTCTTAGGAGAGATAGGTTTTGGAGGATTCAGGGTCTATCAGTGCAGTAACAGAAGAATAAGAAAAGTAATCATGTACAAATATATGATATATGATATTGAACGGGGCTTTCGGATTGATGGTCTAGTGCTGACAGGTTTCGGATTTGTGGTTTGGCGTGTTGGGGCCAAGGGGTGTAGTGCATATAGGGTCTTGCATGCAGAGGTTGCGCTTTGCTCTTGAATGCGCTCGGCGAAACCCTAAACCCTAAACCCTAAAGTCTAAGCCCTATGACACTAAACCCTAAGACCCTAAACCCCAAAACCCTAAACCCTAAAACCCTAAGCCCTAAAACCCTAAAGCCCTAAAGCCCCAAAGACCTAAACACCCTAAGCTTTAAACCCAAAAGCCCTAAAACCCTAAAGCTCTAAACCCCAAACCCTTAGTTTCTCTGCTCTTCGCCTTGGCTGCTGGATCCGTTTAGGGTTTAGGGTTTAGGGTTTAGGGTCTGATGATGGGCAAGAATGGTGGGGCTGCGTTCACAGAGCACAAGGTAGCCCGACGGTCGACGATAGAAATCCAGCACTACCCATAATAAGGAATATCCCATAATTCCCATAGTTTAGGGTCCTTAAGGTAATGCAGGTGTTATATCTCAGCAGTAGTCGTAATTAATCCTGGAACACCTCAGATAATAAACCACATTCTCGCGCAGAATGGAGACGACTCGGCGGTATTGATGGTCACGGCAACGATGTTCACTATGATCTCGGCGGTGGTGATGATGATGATTTTTGTGAAATGTGTGAAACCACCTTAGCCGCAACATTTTAGCCTAAATACTTGAACCCTAAATCCACACCTTGTGGAGCCCCAAGCCTTGAATGAGCCTGAAAAAAAAGACGATGGGAGGAAGTAAGCGCACTCGCCAACATTCGCCCACTTCCTGCAAGGATCGCAAGAGCACTTTCATCTGAGTTGCAAGGGCGTATCTACACCATTGCTGGTATGTCTGGATGCGGCAAATCGACTGCCGATCTACGTTTTAGCAGAGTCACCATGCGCCGAACTGGACTTGTGATAATAGACGCCGATGCGGCGCTGAGCGATCCTGCTCTTACGGACGATCAGCGCCATCTCTTGCGACATGCCCTCTCTTCCGCATTCGGTGGAGGGGGCCGTGGCGGTGCTGAGGCATTGCAGAATGTTTCGGACTCACAACATGGCGATGACTCCGAAACCTCCCTCACTCCATCGTATGCACAACTGGCCCGCGCGGTTGCTTGGACGAAGAGGCTCGTTTGAAAGGCGATATAGATGAGGTTGAGGAGCTGGCAACCCTAAAACCCGAAACCCTAAACCCTAAAACCCTAAAGCCCTAAACCCTGAACCCCTATAGCCCCCAAGCCCAACTCAGACTGCCTCATCCGCAAACCCCGCAGAACCCAATCAGATCCCGACGAGACCCCGTGAACCCTGAACCTTAAACCCCTCGCCTGGAACCCTAAACCCTGAAGGCCCTAAACTTAGGAACCCAAAAAGGACATAAGCATAAGCATTTTGGTGAGGATATCCCTACCTTGTTGGGCTTCATTATACGGGGGTTTACATGGGAGATCCCTATCCTATTGTTTTGCTTATGTGCTTTTTGTGGGCCCTTAGCAGAAGCCCCTAAGCCGGGACTGCGCCAGGAACGGCCGAGTTGAGCAACGAAGACCTCCGTCAGAGCCTAAGCCAGAGAGCAGACTTCAGGCATTTATGTTCAGAGCTTCATATAGGTGGTTATCAAAATTAGGGTCCATTTTGGGTACCCTAAATAATAGGTGCCGTATTGTAATAAGGACCCAAAAAGGGACCATAATTTTGACAACCACCCATATAGTGGGGTGCAGAAGTAGCAGTGGTACGGTTGATGATATACATCCTTCATTACCCATGATACGGAATATACCATAGTTCCCATAGAATAGGGCCCTTCAGGGAATGCCGGTTTAGATCATCAACAGATAGCTTATTGCTTTTCCAGAAAATCCTCAGCATGTACCACGAAACTCCATTCTATTGCTAGGCCCCACCCCTTTCAATCAGGAAGCCTAAATCCTCATGCAGCTGAGCCAAGAAGTTGATCAAGGTGTAAACCTGTTGTACCACAGCGCTTACCAATGGCTGGGGCTGCGATTACCCTCCTTGTCGTGGTTTGGCTTGCAAGGGCGGCTGGCAAAGGCATCCGAGACAGGCACTTTGCTTCCGTTCGAGCGTTTATTCATAGTTGGAAAGTTAGATGAAATTAGGGAATCTAGGGTTAGGGACTCAAGGCGCAGAGGTTACAAGGCTTAAGGGTGTAGAGTTTGCTTGTGCTGGGTTGAAGGGGTCTCTTGTCCTCATGCAAGGGCTGGAATGCCTGCGGGTCTCGGTCTTTTTTATTCGAAACCTCAAACGCTGAACCCTAACCCTTGGCCTATGGGCCTTTCGCGGTGGGATTTCTGCTGGGACAAAAGGGGCCTAAACCCTAAACCCTAAACCTGACCCCGGTACACTCTGCAAACCCTTTCTCACGGTTGATGAACAAATCTTGCATTATCCATAAATAAGGAATATACCATAATTCCCATAGTTTAGGGCTGAGGGTGCTTAAGGTAGTGCAGCATTTATATCATCAACAGTAGGGACCAAGAAGCTTTGCCAGGGCGGAGCTGGACGAGGCGATTCAACTCTGGCAGGGCTCGAGCTTTAGCCGCCCTTAGAGGATTGGGGCGTTGAGGGCTTTTGGGTTTTTGAGGCAGGTTTTTTAGGCGTGCTAAGGGCTTGTAGAGCTTTTGGGGTTTCGGGTTTAGAGGTTTTGGGGGTTGGGTTTGAGTGAGGGGTTGAGGGTTGAGGGGTGCTCTTTTTGGAGCCACTGGGGCAGATCGAGGGTCGAAGGAGGAGAAGGGATTAGGGCCTCGGGTTTCGTGGTTACAGGGCTTTTGTAGGTTTAGGTCAAGGCCGTTCTTGTCGGGGAGGGGGAGGAGGGTACGGCTGGCATGTGCTGACACCGTATATACTTTGCCCTCAAGATGGCCCCTGAGGCTAAGTCGGTCTTATACTGCTTGTAGTCATGTTGGCGCCCCTGGTTGTTGTCGTTGTTGTCGTCTGAAACTCCCTAAACCCTTGCCGTAACTCTCCATAAACCCTAAACCGTGAACCATCAACTCCTAAACCCTAGACGCTCCACTATGGTGGGTGCAGTTCGCGACCCTTTCAGTCCAGACCAAGAGACCTCACAGCCTTAGCTAGGACCTTAGGACCTTGGCTTCTCGGGCCTTGCAAGGGTTAGGAGTTGTAGGGTTTAGGGTTGTGTAGGGTTTAGGGTTTAGCGGTTAGGGTTTAGGGGTTTAGGGTTTAGGGGTCTGGGTTTAGAGGTTTAGGGTTTTTGGGTTTAGGGTTTAGGACCATTCTTTATGTGGTCTAATTGAATAAAAGGGCTAGCTGTTAGAAGGGATCACAGGTGCCATGATGAAATGTTCTGACTGTGCTGTGCTCATCTGAGGCAGCAAAACGCAACCGCGAGGACGGCGATCGTTCAGAAGCTGGGCTTGCGTGAATGGAGATATTAATGTAGTTGTTGACAGGGTTGCTTAATGGTTTCATAGGGCTGTGTTACGATAGGGGTCTCAACCATGAGAATAGGGTAGTGGGGCATATTATACTGCAAGCCTGTACTGAACTGGTGGTTTGGGGTTCGGGGCCGGTGAGCAAAGGCATTTGGGGAATGCAAGCTCAGCAAAATCACACGTGCCTCCCTTGGGCCTCACACCGTGCAAGGCCCGAAACCCAAACCCCCAAATCCAAAGCCAAACCCCGAACCCTAAACCCTCAAAAAACCAAAAGAACCCTAAACCCTGCGCCCAAAACCCTAGATGCCTCTAGCCGAAGGCCATATCTTCCAAAGCCCTGAGGCCTTAGACTTGGGATGTACACTAGGCCCTAAACCCTAAACCCTAAACCCTAAACCCTGGCACCTGCAGCCCGAAATCCCCAGACTTTTAAAACCCTAAGCCCTAGACCCTAGAGCCCCTGGTAATCTCTAAACCCTGAACCCTACTGTTGATGATATAAATCCTGCAATACCCATAAGGACCCTAAACTCTGGGAATTATGGCATATTCCTTATGATGGGCAATGCCGAAATAAATATCATGAACCGCCGTAGTACCCCTTGTAAGCCTTCATAGCCCTCTAAACCCTAAACCCGAAATCCTAAGCACCCGACCTGAGCAGCTCAGTCTTACGCCGAGGACCTGGGGGCAGATATCAGACTGGGATGTGACGGCGGTGACGAACATGAGCGGTGACTTCCCTAAACCCCAACGGTTAAGGGTTTAGGGTTTAGGTCCAGGGATTAGGGTTTAGGGTTTAACCCTAAACCCTAAACTGCAAAACCCCAAAGCTTACACCCTAAACTCCTGAACCCTGAACCCTCAACCCTATAGACCCTAAACTGGGGCATGTTTGGCCGTACTATGCGACATGTTGCAATTTGTGGAGTAAATGCCCCAAAGCCTAACTGACCCTAAGGGCCAAGGTGCTTAACTATCATATACTCTCCAAAGTAGTAACCTACATAACTATGATGCCAAACCCGAGTGCCTAGATATTGGGATGCTGATATATATATATATAGACACACACACACACCTGAAGCAGTTGATGACATGCCTGTTCTACGAAAATCTGCTCCCCTAGAAGTTGCTCGGCAAACTCTCCTTTGGAACCTCGGGGAAGGGCGAGGCTCGAAACTGGGTTTAGGGTTTAGGGGGCCTAAACCCTAAATCCTAAACCCTAAACCCTAAGCCCTAAACCCTAAACCCTAAACCCGAAACCCTAAGCCCTAAACCCTAAGCCCTAAACCCTAAACCCTAAACCCCCTCTCTATGGGGGTGAGAGTGAGTGCAGTGGCGACAAGGGTGAAGGCTCCGGCTCCTGAAAGACCTAGACCTTGCAATGGTTTAGGGTTTCGGGTTCAGCATCAGCTAAGGATATAGGGTTTACGATTTCGGGAATTGAAAAACCCCTAAAAAATCGCATGAGGGAGTCTTCTATCTATAAAGTAAGGTGTATTCCTTAGGTAAGGATTTAGGGTTTAAAAGAAACCCGAAATCACATTAGGGAGTCATCTATCTATAAAAAGTAAGGTCTATATTCCTTAGTTAAGGAATTTTGGGAAGGTCTGGCGGCGGTGGGTTGTAGGACCCTCGCTAGCCAGACTTGGCAAACCCAAAGGATCCACCAGTACGTAAATAGGGGCTACTGTATCTGGTTAAAGGTTTAGGGTTTGGGGGTTTAGGGGTTAGGGTTTAGGGATGTAGGGGTTTAGGGTTTAGGGGTTTAGGGTTTAGGGGTTTCGGGTTTACCGGTTTAGGGTATAGGGTCTCCATTATATGGGGGGGTACTGTCCCAAATCAGAATAGTGATTCCGAATACAGACACCATGCATGCTACGATGTGGGTACTTGGGAGACCTTTTGGGAACTTGAGATCTTGCAAAGAGCTGTTTGAAAGGTCTCCGCGATTTCAGGGTTTGGGGGTTTAGATTTTGCTTTTTAATTCAAAGTCCTCGAGACATCACAGCACACAGATACACACTTGTTCTGTCTCTATCTGTTTGCCCGAGGGTCCAAATAACAGCCCATGCTGCTGTACACTTTGGGGGTCCGAGCCTCTACTACGAACCTACTAAACTGTGCCTCGGCTTTGCTATCCATCATTCTCTCGACGTGACACTATTACGGGCGTGCGCACACGCAAGCACACACATATCATGGATTCGTTTTGCTTGTGCCTGGAGTTACGCTGTTTGGGCCATGCTGCAACAAAACCTTATCGGCAAGTAACAGTACATACTTCTATATAAGCCTACATACTTATTAATATATATATATATATACATACATATATACATACATATATATATATATAGTATACACATACATCTTGGATCATTGACCGGATTATGTAGGTAACAGGATGTCGAGGGCCTCGCATTCCTCAGGACTCTTCCGAGACCTTCGCTCTTTCAGCGAAGACCTGACCTCTTGGAACACCTCTTTGGTGCGTGACATGAGCCTCTGGGCGGTAATTTCAAGGGTTTAGGGTTGATGATACATATGCTGCAGTACCTTAAGGACCCTGAACTATGGGAATTATGGTATATTCCTTATTACGGGTAATGCAGGATTGATATTATGAACCGTAGGGCTTGGCTTTCAGGGTTTACTTTGGGAAGCTTCCTAATCTCCTCTAGGGTTTAGAGTTTCAGGGTTCTCTAGGCGGCACTTCGGCAAGCTTCTTAATCTCCGTTATGATCCTTATACAAGGGCAGCTCGTTCGGGGAGGGGTTGGAATAAGTACCCATATCGTTGCATAGGGCTCCCCATTATTAAGATATATTGCCAAAGACCTATCCTAAAGATGAAGGCCCTTCCAATTACTACTTAAAGTACTGCACAGGCTTTATGTTCGCCGGGGCGACCAGTTTCAGCCAGCCCCTTGGGCAGTGGGACACCCGGCGCGTGATCAACATGTACCTTGGTACCGTTTACGATGTAATATCGCGCTTTACGGTTTGTCGTAGGGTGAGGCATTGGGTTTAGGGTTTAGGGGTTCAGGGGTTTATTAAGCCGCCAAGGCCATCGGAACTCATGCAGGCCGCAGTTGTTGTTTAGGGACGGTCTTCTTAATGCCGATTTCTTCTCCTGCGAAGGAGCCACATGTTCGCGAATGCCCGTGCTTTCAACTCTTCCCTGAACAACTGGAACACCTCCTCGGTTCGCGATATGAGCTGCCAATTCTGTGGCGCCAGCTCTTTCAATCGACCGTTGCAGAAATGGATCACATCCTCAGTCAAGCGGATGAATGACATGTTCGCCTTTGCAAGGCAGTTCAATCAGAACATTGACTCCTGGGATACATCGTCTGTCTTCGACATGAGCGGAATGTTCTCCTATGCCAGTTCCTTCAACCAGTCCATAAATTCTTGGGACACCTCAGCGGTCAAGGAAATGAGCAACATGTTTTCACACGCAGCTGCCTTCGACCAACCACTTCACCGATGGAACACCACGTCTGTGCGGGACATGAGCTATATGTTCAAGATGGCGAAGGCTTTTCAACGTCGCATAGGCACATGGGATACCTCTGCGGTGGAGGACATGCATGGCATGTTCCAATATGCGGCCTCTTTCAACCAACCTCTCAGCAAGTGGGACACCGCGTCAGTCAAGGAGTCGTTCCTAAATCACAGACGTTTGTGTCCGAAGCCTGTCGTCCAGCTAGTAAATGCCACCCTACGACAACTTGTGAAATTATTTATTGCAATTCCGCCCTAAATCGAACTGAAACCCAAACCTCCACGAGTCGTACTTAGTTGAACACTGCAAGCCCGCAACGGCCTATTCTATGAGCCGAAAGACCTGAAAGACCTGAAAAGTAGATTCGAGCAGTCCTCAATCCCGAACCCTAAACCATAAGCCTCAATACAGCAGTGGGGAGGATTGCCAATAGTGTTGCTTAGGGTTCGTGATCATATACGTAGCATAGTAGTATATGCCCCAAAACCCTAGTCTAAGTATTAGGGCCCGTCTGTTCCTGGGTAGCACCAAGCCCTACACCCTCCCTTAACCCTAGGCCTAAACCCCCAACCCTAAATCCTAAACCCTAAACCCTAATCGAGTTCCCATCTCGAGGACATGATCAACATGTTCTACAGGGCAAAGTCGTTCAACCAGCCACTGGCTAGCTGGAAGCTCCTTTGAAGTGGAGGGTTTAGGGTTTAGGGGTTTAGGGGTTTAGGGTTCAGGGGTTTAGGGGTTTAGAGTATAGGGTATAATAACGGGACACCTAAATCCTCGAAGCACTGGGCCTCTGGCTCTTCTAAGGGCTGCAAAAGGTTCTAGTCTGAGCACCACACCAAAAGACCCTAAACCCTAAACCCTAAACCCTAAACCGAGTGCAGGATCATTCCCTAAGGGCCCATGTACCCAAATGGGTCGTTTTCTAACTTATGGTCCCTTTTTGGGTCCTTATTATAATACGGCACCTATGATTTAGGGTACCCCAAAAGGGACCATAATTTTGACAACCGCCCAAATAGTATGTACTTTGGCCTTAAAGTAGTCCCTATATAGGTACATTTGGGGCCAAAGTATGACTTCGCCACGAATCCTTGGATCATGTTGGTCAGCAATAACAGGGTTCCTTTGGAGACGCTTTCCGCACTTCTGGGCTGCCAAAGTTCAAAGTTGCGAGGTTGCGCTTGGATTTGGGGTTGATGGTGGGGTCCTTATACTACGGATCCGATGACAGTTTCAGGGCTGCTACTGTCTGAACATGACAGGCAATGACGTAATGACACAATCGTCGTACTTTTCCTGAAGCCCCAACAACAACCAAAACCAATCCTAACACCCAACCCGACTCGAAACCCAGACGCTACACCCCTACACCTGAAACCCCAAACCAAGACCCCCCCCCCAAAAAAAAAAAAAAAAAAAAAA